TGCACGTCACAGTATCTCTGCCTGTGCTGCACTCATGTCGTATTTCTTTGAGGGAGTGCATTAAAAATACTGCTTTAGTTTTGCATCATATTCTGTGTTATAGTAGTACTTTGATTCCAACTGTACCGCTGTGATGTGCTATGAGGCCTGTTCTGTTGGTTGGACACTTCCATGTGCAGTACTTATATTTCAACTGAATCTCAATCACATCAATCAAACATTGGCTCCTTACACTGATGCTCTGTCATCACACCTTTTACAGTTCAGTTCACCTCAAGGCACGTCATGTTGTCAGGTAGACCCTACAATGATAGGTACAGAGAAAACCCAACAATCATATGAGCCCCTAAGAGCAGCACTTTGGCGACAGTGGGAAGGAAAAACTCCCTTTTAACAGGAAGAAACCTCCAGCAGAACCAGGCTCAGGGAGGGGCGGGGCCATCTGCTGTGATTGGTTGGGGTGAGAGAAGGAAGACAGGACATGCTGTGGAAGAGAGACAGAGGTTAATAACAGATATGATTCAATGCAGAGAGGTCTATTAATACACAGTGAGTGAAGAAGAAACACCCAGTGCATCATGGGAATCCCCGGCAGCCTATTGCAGCATCACTAAGGGAGGATGCAGGGTCACCTGGTCCAGCACTAACTATCTGCTTTAGCAAAACAATCTACATTTAATATAACAAGTTTAATATAAACATATGAAGAGTCAGTAACCTTTTGGGACACCATGTTCCTCCAGAACAGCTTCAGCAGATGCTCCAGGTGTGCTCCAGGTGTTGTGTTGCTCATTTGGTGGTTTGTTTAAAAGAAGTAACATATCGATCTTCCAGAGGTGTTCAACAATCAATCCTGAATCTTTTCTGTGTTTTATCTTCTAAGCTTTGAAAGACAGAACAGAAAGAAAGCTGAATAATATTTTTGTCAAGAACAGAAGGATGTTGGACTCTTTTTGTCACGGACCCAGTTCCAGGGATTCGGGGTCCGTGAGCAGTCTGTACTACTATTGTAGTTATTATCATTATTATTGTGGTTATTGTTATTATGGTTGTGTCTGCTGTCCTGTTTTCCGTGTTGGTGTACTGTCAGGTGTTTATGGGTGTGTGCATGTGTGTGAGGGTGCGGTCGTGGCAGGCACGTCTAGGCCTGGTGGGTGTGGCCCTGCCAGCTGACCGGTCCCACCCAGGAATCCACACACACCTGGCGCCGATCAAGCCTCGTCAGAGGAGCTTCAAAACAGTGTGGCTGAGAGCTCCTCGACGCTGGATCGTTGAGTGACTTCCCGTCAGTCTTAGTTTATCGTGCAAGGTTAGTGCAAGTCTGCCGTTAGGTTTTGTACTCACGACTGCCTTTTGTATGCATGTTTCTCAGGAGGAATTGTGGCGACCAGGAGGCAGCACACGGACAGTACACAGGGAACGGAGACAGAGCACGGAGCACGGGATAAAGGAGAAGACACGGAACGGGAGTTGGGATCGCACGGGGAATTTATTGTTGTTTGGATTGTCACCACTGTAAATAAACGCACTGCCTTCAGCGCCAAGTCCTGCATTTTGGGTCCTCATTTCTCACATCCCCACGGTCTGCCAGCCAGACCGTGACACTTTTTGAGCTGACAAACTGTGACTCGTCACTGACACTGTGTAATGATTTCCTTTCATTCTCAAAGGAGATTTGCCAGATCTTGTGAATGAAAATGATTTCCTGTAGGAGGACATTGTGGCAGAAATTGCTTTGGGAACGGAACTATTCAGACCTCGCAAGTTGGAAGCAATCTTTGAGAGCTGTGATGCTTCATGAACTGAGTGAACTGCTGCAGCACTGGGAGTCGGTCCAGCACCGATGTGATGCAGTGATGGAGTACCACAGTGATCATTTAGAAGTGATGTGGGGCGCTCAGAATCAGGTGGATGGTGTCAACGTTCTGGTCAAACTGAAGCTTGTTTTACGTCACAATCCCAAAACGGCATCGATGACAGCTTTGAGTGTTGGCAGCAGCTTCCTGGAAAGTTCAATGTGCATCGCTCTCTGATGTGATACATCAGAACACATTCATCAGCTGGAGCGCTGATGTTGGCTGTATGCAGTTCTCTGTCTCCCTCGGTCCTTCTTCATGTTTCATCATTACAAGTGTAAGCAGGTGTAGTGGCTGCATGAATGCATGCATGAAACACAGACTGGTGTCATGGCTTTCTGCTGGGAGAAATGAACATGTTTAATGTTGCACGGTAGTGTGTTCATCTCAAGCACATGTCCTAAACCTGACGCAGCAGCCTTGGTTCATATATTTAACCAAAGACTACGTGAGGAAGCTGGTTTCCTCTTCAAATGAACACGTGTTGTACGGGTAAGAGCGTCGTGTCAGGTGGTGGGATCGTGTAGTTTGACGTCTGGATCACTGGTGTTTTTTTAACAGGTCAAATGAATGGATCATGCTGGTTCTCCCATCAGTGGATGTTAAACATAGCCACACAGTCAGGACAGTCTCTGACTGATCAGAGGCTTTTCCAACCCTTGGATCATATAAGAGTCATCTCCGGCACGTGTGTGTTGGTACAGAAGCCCTACTCTTAAACTTAGATGGTGCTGAAACAGCTTGTTTTACACAGACTGCACCGAGGCTTCGACACGATTATTTAGAACTGAGAATCATGCAAAGTTAATCTAGTAGAGCCAAAGAATAAAGTATGGACCCTTCACAGGCTTTTTCACGTTTCCCTGATGTACCTGAGAAATAGAATTAGCAGCGTTTCACACTGATGCATTTACTTTACACAGACGTTTGTCACATCACAAACAGAGCCTTCTTTTTGTCTTTGGTTAATTAGAAAAAAGCAAAGCTAACACGATGTGCTTGGATCCGTGTCAGGCTTCAGAAATGTGAGCAGTGTCACAAAAACAAACCTTCCCCTCCTAAATATCTCAGTCATTACCCAAAGTTTGACAAAATTTCTGTTTCTTCTTCTTTTCTCGGTTTGGACATTATTGCATATTTGTATAAAATAATTCTGTTGTATAACACGTTGCATCAAACTCAGAGATGTGATCTTTTTTATCATTTATCTAAAATACTGACATATAGCCCCTTCTCAGTTCAATTATCTTCATTGTTGCCTGGCTGGTTGGTAATGCCGCGTTCAGCCAACAAATCTGCATGAAACTGTTAGTTTGCTCGTGTCCATGTTGGTGCATCAGTAACTACAGCAGAGGCTGTCGCTTCTCACGCAGGGCCAACATGACCGAGCAGACAGCAGGTGGCAGTCTTTCACTGGAGACCAACCTATGATCACCAAGGGCTGATAAAAATCTGTCTTTTCACGTGATAATAATCACATACGTAGCGTATTGTCTCCACATCAGTATCGTCAGTGCTTCACCTTGATGGAGGCGTCCTCGGCTACGAAGCTGCTCACCTGTCCCTCCAACCTTCCTCCAGGTAATCTGATGTCTAATTGGCTAACTGGAGCAGATTAAGCTAAGACCAGGAATAGGACTGCGCGTACACACACACACACGCACACACACACACGTCTGCATGTGGCTTTCCGTTAGACAGTAAGGTCAGTGTAGCATTACAAACATAAAGCCATAAGATGGAAACGCTCTCCTCTCATCTTCCTCACGTTATTAATTCTGTTCAGGGGCGCCTCAGCCGGCTCATAGCTAAACTCCAATGTTACAAGTTCTTGGAAAAAGTAACACTGTGGTGGAAATATTTCTGTGGGAATGAAATGAGTCACGTGGAGAAACAAATCTGTTCCAAACAAGCGCGTCCAACAAAGAAACGAGTCCTCAGCGTCTTCATTAGGACACGTTTGCTTATTGACACCCATACTTGTTTCTTTTGGACGGACTTGAAGACCTTGTTCATACCAGTTTGGACACACCTGCGGCGCAGCTGGGTGAGCAGGAGTCCCGGTGTCCCTCTCTCACTTTCCTGTCAGTTTTCACTGCATCTGTCTAATAAAGACAAAAATATATTTTAAAAAAAGAACAGAAAGTTTGGATGCAGCTTCTCATTTGATCGTTTTTCTTTATTTTCATAAGTATTTACACTGTAGCAGACATCACAATGTGGAATTAAACCAAAAAGTCTGAAAACATGTTTTATATGTGAGATTCTTTCAGCTTTGCTGTCCCGTTCTTGTCCCAGCACAGAAACAGAGACACGTGGGAAAAGTGACATCTCGTTAAAATGAGTCTGTGTGAGGCTAATCCAACAGTAATGCAGTCTAATGGTGTGGAGGTCTTCCAGTCAGTGGTGACAGGCCCACTAACAGCTGTGACAGCACCGTGTGGGGTACGGAGCCCCTTTAGAAATCAATGCATGTAAACTGTAGGGCGACCCTTGTATCTGTAGCCATTCTAAACATTTCTGTTTAATAAAACTAAGTGATGCAAGTGCAGACTTAGCTAGCGGCCTGTGGAAGTCACAGTTCAGTCAGGCAGCTCAGACATTTGGCACTCAGGACTTTCCACCTTTGGGTGATGGGAACACACCACAGTGCAGTCCTCCATGCAGACCCAACCCAGCTCATCATAGCACAAACACGCAACGTGTGCAAGAGGGAGGCCACTCAGACACGGGAGGGAAATGCCATCAGCATAAATGACTTTGTGGTGTTACTTTTGTAACGTTCACGCTGATCGTCAAATACAAATAAGCAAACGGTGCATTTTGTAGCAGCCTTGAAATATATAAATATATATAAATGTATATAAATATATATCCCGTTTCTGTTACTGGGAAAGGGGGATTTCTGTTTAAATCCAGCTCCAGCAGGCTTCGGCAGCGCGGCCGGTGATGTGTGCGTGCGCGCGTTTATGTGACCATTGACTGAGCATGTGCGAGGCAGCAGAGAGATTATCGCTGCCACGACTCTGGGCTGCCCTGTATATCTTCTACTTGCTGGAATATTCGTTGTAGTTCAGGCATGGAGGAGCGGAAACCTCTCGGTTCAGGCCGTGGAGCGGAGCGGAGCGACTCGGTTTGGGGGACTTTGGAGACTTTACGCATGCTCCTCGTCAGCTGCGGGCGGGGAGACTTTAAAGTTGGACGCTTTTCATTTACAGTAGTGACGGAGGTGAAATGATATTCTGTAGTGAACTCTTGGTATTTTTGGAACATCTGAAGTGGTCTCACAACAGATAACCAAGAAGAGGACAAAGTCACTGTGACGCGACCATTCCCACTGTAACAAATGGCAGATGGATATGAGCAGGCCAGCGCATCAGAGTTTATTAAGGGTAAGTTTAACATCAGTCCTGGGATGTAATACTGCGTAATGGTTTCTATAAGAAACTACAGCCTGCAATATTTCCATGCGCGTGACTGAGAGCGCGCGTGGACATAAATACACAGGACTGAACTGCTCGTTCACTTTGGCTCATTAAACAAAGCTAAACCAGCGTGATTCAGTGTGAGTTACACTGACCACGATAGTCTCCATCAGGGGGACACTAACGAAACAAGAGACGAGGACATTTCTGATTATTTTGTAGGTTCTTCATCAGCATTGTTGTGGATCAATAACTCTTGACAGGACTGTGGGGCAGCTGGTCGGCCTTTGGCCTGGAGGATGCTGGATCGTTTTCAGCGGTGTCTGCTATAATTAACATGATATAAACTGTAATAGCTGTGCATTAAGACGGTAACAAGAATCCTGGTAAAGTGAGTCCGTGCAGGTCCAGGTCAGCTTCACAGCTCGTTTCCAGGAATAAGTTTTCTCTTTTCAGCTATCACTGCAGAACTTGCTTTCCAGGTTTACTGAAGCAGCCTAATTACTCATGAGTACATGTAGAACTATATGTAGCTGAAAGGTTGAAACTTACAGGCTAACAGTTGGGGCAGGTTGTAGCCCAGTGTCCCACAGCTCACTCACTCATAGAGTCAAATATTACAGTTTAGTTAAAGTTTATAAAGCCATTGTTCCCTGATCTGGTAAAAAGAAGCATTTCAGTAGTGCGAGGATTAAGTTTGGCTAAATCAGGTTAAGTAAGCAGCACCAGTGTGTCACGTAAGGGCAGGAGATTTGGGTCCTGCCTCGGTTTCAGCAGCAGTTAATGAGGGGAACTGATCCTGTGCTGTAACCGAGACACCAAAAATACCTGGATGCAGTCAGCAGCTCGGTGTGATCGGGACAAGAGAGTGTTATCGCCCTGTATCCTTGACCTGAAGCCAGGACTGTGTGTGAGGCTGAATGTAACCTGTGTGTGTGTGTGTGTGTGTGTGTGTGTGTGTGTGTGTGTGTGTGCTGTACACCACAGACCGCCTGTACTTTGCCACTCTGCGGGTCAAACCTAAGAATACAGCCAACACACACTTCTTCAGCACGGATGAGGAGTTCATATATGAAAGGTAAGCTGCAGCCGTAATCTAGTCTGATCCCCAATCATGACGTGTCAACAGTCTGCTCCTGCTCCCTGTCAGCACACGCTCCTACAGATCCTTTCTTTCTGATGCCTCTTTCGTAACAGATTAACTTTGTTTACCTCCGTTTTTGTTGTTTCGTGTCCTTTAGAAACTCCTTTGATCTCATTAATATCCCACCTGTTCATTTCAGAGAGACACGCCTTTTGACAGTCATGGGCCTGTCCTTCCTTGACTTCTCATTACTGGTCTCTGATTACCGTTATACTGTTAGAAGATGTCCACGGCTCCACCCGGAGGGATGGTGTCCTGGTTCAAACTATGGTTTTCTGGTTGGAGTTTACACGTTTTCTCTGCTTCAGTCCAAAGACATGCACGTTCATTCATGTTAGGTTAACTGGTCATTTAGTTTAGTCCAGTTTTATTTGTGTAACATCAGTTACATCCAGGCCCTTTGTAGGTAAACAACCTACAACATTAGAGAGAAAACTCTAATTGGACAATTCCCAGTGAGCAGGGCCGGGAACAGTGGGACGGTAAAACTTCTAATAGGTGGGGAGACCCTGAAAGGACTTCTTACAGTGTCGCCGCCTGGATGTGAGCAGGAAGCTGCTTCCTCTCAGGACAGCTGCTCTGGCCACCTCGAAGACTATCAGAACCTGGCCTGATGAAGCCTTACAGCAGCTGCAGGACTGTCTCCACACCACCAGGACATTTCTGAACATCCAGACCTGGAGGTGTCACCTGGTCTATCCCAACCACAAGCCCTGGATGACCGGGGACCTCCACCGGCTGCCTTCAGAGTGAGTGACGGTGCAGCGAGGCCTCTGAAAGGCCAAATGACACTACAGGTGGAAGATCACCTGGACAGCAACAACAGCAGGCAGGTGTGTCAGGAGGGCAGCACATCACCAAGTACAGGAGCAGTCAGAGCTGCCCCAGGTGATGCTTCACTAGCAGAGCAGTTGAATCACTCCTTGTTTTGAAGTGCAGTCACCAGAGGCTCGTATCAATGAGTCCATCCTCACTGTGGAGGAGTGTGACATGAGACGCACGCCGTCAACCCTCCAACAGTAACAGCTCATACGTCAGTGAAGAAGACATGAAGTCCACATCCTTGTGGAGAACTTCATCCAACCCTGTGTCGTCATGTTGATACATGTGCACTGTTTTTCCCATGAAAATGTCTGTTGATGTATCACCAGCGTGACTGATGTCATAAACCCCTGTGAACCATCTGGTCCCGGCCTGTGGTCATAACCCCTGACTGAGCACGCACGAGTTCTGGTTCCTTAAACGATCTGCATCTATTTTAGGATATAAAATTGTTTTAATTACACACCGATGAGAGACAGATCAGAGGTGAAACAGCCTCGGAAAAATGTTCCATCTGTGCGTTTATATGTGCACCTTCACACTGTGGAGCTACAGGCCATCCCAGTACACAGGGCTGGGTGGAAACTGGTTTCCAGCATTTCCTGACCTCTCAGGACTTTTAAGGAACTCTAAGATCTTAAAGCTCAATTCAGATTTTTGGATCAAATCAGATGTTTTTGTCTGCTCGTTCACTCTACAAATAAAATGTGGCAGCAAACGCGCTCTAGTGTGAACGCTCAAAGCAGCCGCATGCGCAAAAGCAGACGTCACACACAACGCGCTCTGTTTAGACCCAGAGCAACAGGATGTTTGACTGATGGCCTTAATATAAAGACTTTGGACTTCACGTTTCCCAGTTTTTGCTTTAAGTTATTTTGTTATTTACATAATAATGTAAATAACCTAATAATGATCCTGATTGTTATTTTAGAGGAGCGCTGCTTCAAAGGATCAGAATCTGCAGATTATACAGAACAAATAAAATGTTCACGTTTCTCCAACGTTGTCTTCCCAACAGTTTCACTGGACGGACAGGAAGTGTTCACCATGTCTTCTCCGGAGCTGATAATCGGCGTCTGTCTTGTGTCAGTGACGTAAAAGACGGATTTAATGCGACGTGACCATCAAACAGCAGTCGCTTTCTAAAACATCGGATATCTATCGGATTCAGCACCACATACGAGAGTGACCCAGGTCGGATTTGAAAATATCGGATTTGTGCCGTTCACACTGTCACACCATGATCGGATAGATGGTCGCAGAGGGTCAAAAAATCGGATTTGATGCGCTTTCGCCTGCAGTGTGAACGTAGCCAAAGTTCCTGATGCTCAACTCTGAGCATCAGTATCATGGGATATATCACAGTGTCAGAGTGTCTGTCACAGAGCGGGTGTTTGAGCTGTGATTAACCGGGTAGGTGGTCCATGGGTAAACCTGAGATGGCTTTTGTCACGGCGAGTGGAGGAAATAAAGGAGGATCCAATTGCAGGCAGTCGTGAAGGTGGTTTATGGAACACAGAGCACAGGGAAAAAATGGCAAACGAAGATTAAACTAAACTATACTGGGAATAACTAAACTATACTGGGAATAACTAAACTACTAAACACAAAGCAGAAGACGAACATGAAGGAGGGGGGGCAGGACACACGGGTGAAACATGCCAGATACACAGACGGACCAGCAACGACAGAAGACACGACTTAAATGCACTCAGAGAAACACGGGGAGATTACACACAGGTGGAAGTAATTAACGAGAGGAGACAAGGGAGGCAACACAAGAGATCACTACACAAAGACGCAGACTGGACACACATCAAACCCACAGCAAACATGGGAACACAAAACCTGAGAGCAAAACCAGAACCACAGAAACAATAAATAATAATAATCAACAAAGCACCAGAGATGAAAAACGATCATTCAAAAACAAACCAAAGCAAGAGAAGTCAAAATGCTGCGTCGACCCCGACGTGACAGCTTTCAGTGCTTGACAATCTTTGAAATCCTCTTCCTGTCATTCGTGCTGTTGGCCGACTTACTGAATATGATGATGAGTAATCTGGTATCAGGCTGTGGTGTTAGGGACAAAGACGGACTTGCAGCCCTGCTCGTCTGTCACGTTCCAGCCTTGGTAATCGTTTTCTTTTCTGCAGCAGACAAACAGGATTTGAGTTGGTTTCATTGAGTGAAACAAAGCTGTGAGCTTCCTCTGACTCCATGTCTGCATTGTGTGGGTGGAAACATCCAGATAAAGGTCCGAGGTTTTCTAACGGAGCATTTTATTATGACCAGATGAACAATGTCACTGTCTTCACCTGTCAGTGGGTTTAGTTTTGTGTGTTGTTGTGTTGTAATTGTTGAGAGCTCCTCCATCTCTCTCACTGTGTGTTGCAGTTTCTATGCAGACTTTGGGCCCCTCAACCTGGCCATGCTGTACAGATACTGCTGGAAACTCAACAAGAAGCTGAAGGTAATGAAGGTCTTCAGACTCAGGGCTTTGTTTGCTGTACAGACATCGTTTAGAAAACGCGTTACGCTCTTATTTTGAAAGGTCTTTGCTCTGATGGTGTGTGTGCACTCCTCTGACAGTAGACGCTTATTTTAAATGTATTAATGCACATGTGCTGTTTTCACTGATTATTGATTATCATTATTGGTTTGTAGTCTTTCACAATGTCTAGAAAGAGCCTGGTTCACTACACCAGCTACGACCAGAAGAAGAGAGCCAATGCTGCTGTTCTGATTGGTGCCTATGCTGTAAATATCCTTTCATTCGTCCATCACATCATCTGATTGCCCGTCTGTCTGTGCATTATGAGTTATGTCGTTTAACTCTGCCCTGTAGGTGATGTATCTGAAGAGAAGCCCAGAAGATGCCTACAGGACTCTGATAGCAGGAAACAGCACAGGCTACATGCCGTTTAGGTACAGGCTGCTGCTTTCTACGAAACAGCGCTTCATGCTGGGCTGTTGTCCTTACATTTACTGAGACACTGTCTGTTAAATCCAGCTTGGCTTAGCATAAAGACTGCAAGCAGGGGTAACAAGAAGAAACTCCACCTAGCTGGAGATTATTTGGCGACCATGAAGGTTCCAGGAGGTCAGGAAACCTCATCAAACCCACACTTTTAAGTTTGGGATGGGAACATGTTCCCGTGTGATTGTAGGGTTTTACTGCTGTTGTGATTTGGCACTATATAAATAAAACTGAATTCAGAAATTTGAATGAATTGTTAACAGTTTATGAGCTCTTAGTGAGCTTTAGCGGTGCCAGTGGGTTGATGTCATTCATGTAGACTGAGCTAACGTGTCCCCCCCCAGTCCTGAGCTCAGCTGAGCAGGTGCTGCTTAGTTTTTACTCTTAGTGATGGTTTGTGTTTATTTACAGTGCAAACAAGCCTGAGACTGAAGCCTAACTACACTACTGTTACTGTATTCTTTCTGTGTGTGTGTGTGTGTGTGTGTGTGTCTGTGTCTGTTGTGTGTGTCTGTGTGTGTGTCTGTGTGTGTGTGTCTGTGTGTGTGTGTGTCTGTGTGTGGTGGTGTGTCTGTGTCTGTGTGTGTGTGTGTATGTGTCTGTGTGTGTGTCTGTGTGTGTGTGTATGTGTCTGTGTGTGTGTGTGTCTGTGTGTGTGTCTGTGTGTGTGTGTGTGTGTGTGTGTGTGTGTGTGTGTGTGTGTGTGTGTGTGTGTCTGTGTGTGTGTGTGTGTGTGTGTGTCTGTGTGTGTGTGTGTGTGTGTGTGTGTGTGTCTGTGTGTGTGTGTGTCTGTGTGTGTGTGTGTGTGTGTGTCTGTCTGTGTGTGTGTCTCTGTGTGTGTGTGTGTGTGTGTGTCTGTCTCTGTGTGTGTCTGTGTGTGTGTCTCTGTGTGTCTGTGTGTGTGTGTGTGTGTGTGTGTGTCTGTGTGTGTGTGTGTGTTGTGTGTCTGTGTGTGTGTGTGTCTGTGTGTGTGTGTCTCTGTGTGTGTGTGTGTCTGTGTGTCTGTGTGTGTGTGTGTGTGTGTGTGTGTGTGTGTGTGTGTCTCTGTGTGTGTGTGTCTCTGTGTGTGTGTGTGTGTCTGTGTGTGTGTGTCTGTGTGTGTGTGTGTGTGTCTCTGTGTGTGTGTGTCTGTGTGTGTCTGTGTGTCTCTGTGTGTGTGTCTGTGTCTGTCTGTGTGTGTCTGTGTGTGTGTGTCTCTGTGTGTGTGTGTGTGTGTGTCTCTGTGTGTGTGTGTGTGTCTTTGTGTGTCTCTGTGTGTGTGTCTGTGGTCTGTCTGTGTGTGTCTGTGTGTGTCTGTGTGTGTGTGTCTCTGTGTCTGTGTGTGTGTGTGTGTGTGTGTGTCTCTGTGTGTGTGTGTGTGTGTCTCTGTGTGTGTGTGTCTCTGTGTGTGTGTGTCTGTGTCTGTCTGTGTGTCTCTGTGTGTCTGTGTGTGTGTGTGTGTGTCTGTGTCTGTGTGTGTCTCTGTGTGTGTGTGTTTCTGTCCGTGTGTGTCTCTGTGTGTCTGTCTGTGTGTTCTGTGTGTGTGTGTCTGTCTGTGTGTCTCTGTGTTCTCTGTGTGTGTTGTCTGTCTGTGTGTCTCTGTGTGTCTGTCTGTCTGTGTGTGTCTGTGTGTGTCTGTGTGTGTTCTCTGTGTGTGTGTCTGTGTGTGTGTCTCTGTGTGTCTGTGTGTCTGTGTCTGTCTGTGTGTCTCTGTGTGTGTGTGTCTGTGTCTGTCTGTGTGTCTCTGTGTGTGTGTGTGTGTCTGTGTGTCTCTGTGTGTGTCTGTCGGTCTGTGTGTGTGTCTGTGTGTGTGTGTGTGTGTGTCTCTGTGTGTGTCTCTGTGTGTGTGTGTGTCTCTGTGTGTGTGTGCCACAGAGACGCAGCGGTTGGAGAGTGCTCTTTTAACCTCACCGTGCTAAACTGCTTACAAGGAATCAACAAGGTAGCAACAACGTCTAACACAGAAGATTTTAGTAACATTAAAATGACACTTAGTAACTTCATTTGTGTCACACCTCATTTTAACGCAAAAATCCCAGTTTGAGCCACATTTGAAATTGTTCTCTTATTCTGTAACAACAGTAATTGAATTCAGTTTTATTCATAGCACTAATTCTAAGCTACAGTTACTTCAAGGTACTTTAACTTATAAGGTAAAGAGCCTGCAGCACTGCACTAGAAGTACACACTTGGCAACAGTGGGAAGGAAAAACTCCCTTCCAACAGGACGAAACCTCCAACAGAACCAGGTTTAAGGAGGCAGCAGTTCACTGTGACAGGTGAGGGGTAAGAGCAGAGACAAAGGAGTTTAATAATTACTAATGATTAAATACTTCAGTGATGTACAAACACACAGGAATTGAAAACAAACGACTAAAGAAGAAATAGTCAGTGCATCAGCGTGTCTTTTAGACCCCATTCCTACAAAACTGCTCAAAGAAGTCCTGACATTAATTAATGCTTCGATCTTAAATATGATCAACCTATCTCTAATAATCGGTGTTACGTCCCCACTTAAAAGCTAGGCGATGAGGGTGGGGGACAGTAACAGTTAGATCCAGGTGGAATGAAAAGAACGCCAGGCAGAGGTATTTAATATAAAATAGATCTTTATTGTAGGCAAACACCTCAATAATCATTTAAATGGCAACAACAAAAGGAGACAGCACCGCTGCTTTATGAGAAATCAGGGAGATCAACCCAAAGTGGTAATGACCACTTCAACAAAGGAAGCAACAATAAGGCTTCAACAGAAAGAGACAGCAACACTGCTAGCAAACAATATCCAGGCAGGCCACACAAACTAGTGAAGGCTGCCGTCACTCATGGGCAATCACTGCTCAGTTAAGCACTACTCACAAAGAGCCACACGCAGCAGGCTGTTCCACACCTAAGCCAGTAACACACTCTGACCCGCACAGAGGAAATCCACCAGAAACCTCTCCCTCCTCCTCCACACTGCTCTTCTCCAGCTTATATCACCCCTGAGGGTAATTGGTTGTAACGAGAGCAGATGAGCAGCAGGTGTGACCTAAAGGAGAAGGCAGGGGCAGAGAGAGACAAGGGGAGGGGCCAGAACGAAGGAGGAGGAGAGGGAGAAGACAACACCACGCCCACACACTCCCACAGCCTCCCAGGATGTAACAATCGGCTATGTACCACAGGCCTTCAAGCTGGCTGTAGTTAAACCTTTACTCAAAAAGCATCTCTAGACCCAGCAGTCTTAGCTAATTATAGGCCAATCTCCAACCTTCCTTTATATCAAACATCCTTGAAAGAGTAGTTGTCAAACAGCTAACAGATCATCTGCAGAGGTTTATTTGAAGAGTTTCAGTCAGGTTTCAGAGCTCATCACAGAAACAGCTTTAGTGAAGGTTACAAATGATCTTCTTATGGCCTCTGACAGTGGACTCATCTCTGTGCTTGTCCTGCTAGACCTCAGTGCAGCGTTCGATACTGTCGACCATAATATCCTATTAGAGCGATTAGAACATGCTGTAGGTATTACAGGTACTGCACTGCAGTGGTTTGTATCATATCTAATAGACTCCAGTTTGTTCATGTAAATGGAGAGTCCTCTTCACACACTGAGGTTAATTATGGAGTTCCACAGGGTTCAGTGCTAGGACCAATTCTGTTTACATTATACATGCTTCCCTTAGGCAGCATCATTAGAAGACATAGCATACATTTACACTGCTATGCTGATGACACCCAGCTCTATCTGTCCATGAAGCCAGATAACACACAGACATAAAGACCTGGATGGCCGCTACCTTTCTGCTCCTTATTCAGATCAAACTGAGGTTATTGTACTCGGCCCTGAAAAGCCTAGAAATATGGTATCTAAGCAGATTCTTACTCTGGATGGCATTACCTTGGCCTCCAGTAACGCTGTGAGGAACCTTGGAGTCATTTTTGAGCAGGACATGTCCTTCAACGCACATATTAAACAAATATGTAAGACTGCTTTCTTCCATTTGCGCAACATCTCTAAAGTTAGAAATATCCTGTCTGAGAGTGACGCTGAAAAACTAGTTCATGCATTTATTACTTCCAGGCTGGACGACTGTAATTCATTATTATCAGGAAGTCCTAAAAACTCCCTGAAAAGCCTTCAGCAGTCAGTCAGATTGCCGCCCCTCCCTGAGCCTGGTTCTGGTGAACATGTGTTTCTGTTAAAAACGAGTGTTTCCTCCCCACTGTCACCAGTGTGCCTGCTCGTGGTCTGATTGTGTTTCCTCTGTAGGGTCTTTACATACAATATTAACTGCCTGAGGTGACCGTTGTTGTGATTTGGTGCTAAGAAAACTGAACTGAATCTGTGAAACCACTGCAGATCACTATAACACTAAACATTTCAGCCCTTTGGGGGGAGTTGTGCTTTTGTTGTGAAAATCTGTTCCTGCTCTTTTCCTCTGCAGGCATTACAACATGGTTTCCTGGATTTTGAAAGGTTCAGTGCAGAAGAATATGAACATTATGAGGTAACAGACTGCAGAGACTGTGCTACAGGTCGATATCAATGCAAACAGGACCAGGATACAGGAAGAAATAACTAACGTACGCTTGTTATTCATCCAGTTTATTTGCAGTGCTGTTAGTAACACAGTCAGGGCCAACCAAGAGCTCGTACGATGTCCAGGCCTGCCTTGGTGCACGCTGTACTTCCTCAGTTTCTCAGTTAGATTGATCCATAGCTCACCCGTCCAAGTGATAGACAGTCAGTGAAGTAAAGGTCAACAAAACTGATTTCCAATGAAAGGTAAAAGCCCGTACGTGTTCATTACTGCAGTGGTGGTATAATTAAGGTGTTCTGGATCCATGTTTTAACTGATATGTGGCTAACCTCTATCACAGTCTTTCCTTTCTTTTTGTGCTTTTAGCGAGTTGAAAATGGAGATATGAACTGGATCGTTCCGGGCAAAGTTCTGGCGTTCAGTAGCCCTCATTCTCGTGGTGAGTCAGAATCTCTAAGCTAAAAGCTAAAAGCATGCCTCCAAACCAACACCAGTGCTCACGTTGCTGGGCTGACAGAAGGCCTGTGCAGCCCCTCAGTGCCTGCACGTCCTGAAGCAGCTGAGAAGAGCTAACCTTACCCTGCTGTCTTCTGACGGCGTGCATTGTTTCCTGCTTAGTGCTGTCATGTTGTTACGGCTGGATTAGACGAGCCTGAACCCTGCAGTGGCTCGGGGTTTCCCATGATGCACTCATGCTTCTCCATCCCTCAGCTCTTTTTACTTTCTGTGTATTTACACCACTTTGCACGTAGTTATTATTCCCCTCTGGCTCTCGTCCATCTCTTGTCCTGTTGTCCTCCCCCCACCCCGACCACATGAGCCAGATTGCGCCCCCTCCCTCAGCCTGGTTCTTGTTAAAAGGGAGTTTTTCTTTCCCGCTGTCAGCAGGTGCTTGGGGCCGTCCGATCGTTGGGTTTTCTCTGTATTTAACGTCTTTACCTTACAACATAAATCAGCTGACACTACGTCATTGAATCTTATTTTACGTTCGCATTAAAACAGACGCTCGCTGATTGAAACGTATGACGTAACTCAGCTGTTGTTGACTCTGTCTCCAGGTTATCCCCTCCACACACCCGAGGCATACTTCTCATACTTTTGCCAAAATGACATAACGACCGTGGTTCGTCTGAACAGGACGTTGTATGATGGCAGGCGGTTTGAGGATGCAGGATTTGAGCACCACGACCTCTTCTTCCTTGATGGGACCACGCCCTCTGACCTCATCGTCAGACGCTTTCTGCATGTGTGTGAAAGTACAGACGGGGCAGTGGCGGTGCACTGTAAAGGTAGGACTGCAAGTCTTTATGTTTAATTGATGTCATTTATTTCTTTTATCTTAACTTTGTCTCTTTAAACACTCCATCCATTTACAGCTGGATTAGGCCGCACGGGCACTCTGATTGGCTGCTACCTGATGAAGCACTTCCGGTTTACTGCAGCCGAGGCGATTGCTTGGATCAGAGTCTGCAGACCTGGATCTATCATCGGTCCACAGCAAAACTTCTTAGAAGAGTGAGTTTGTGCCTCAGCTGTGACCGCTCAAACCAAACGGCCCACTTTCCGTGACTCCAAAGGTCTCGGTCGGAGACAATCATTAAGCTGTAGTCCGTTCATGAAAGTACAGGAGTAATGCTGTGCACACAGACACGTCTGCAACACTTCATTAGGATAATGTCACAAAACACAAGCAGACGGCAGCTTCACCTCCAAGGTGCACGGAGAAGACAAAGATCTGACGAGGTGAAGACTCCAGTCACAGAGTATCAGGGAACCATAACGTGTTAGTGGCCTTCATCAGGGTCATTGCGTTTGTGAAGGTGTGATTGGTCCACTTGGATCTTTTTCTGTTTCCAGTCTTTTTTATTTAAACACAAGCTGTTTGACATTTTGCAATGACCCAAAAGGCGTTGGCCACTGAGTACAGCTGTTCTCTAATACTTCGAGTGTCGCTGGAGTCTTCACACAAAGCACAAGTAGATCAGGAAGGGTTTGAGGGGTCACCTTGGCCTTCAACGTCGGCAGATCTCAGTCTCATCGAGCATCTGTGAGATGTGCTGGACAAACAAGGCCCGTCTGTCCTTAGGCTGTGGCATCTATTGCTGTTAGCACACAGGATGTTTCTCCATGCTGAGGTCATGGTTGGAGCATGCTGGAAATGTTAGAAGAGAAGCAAAAGGTGGAGGTCAGGGTGGGGCATTCCCCAGGGTGCCCATGTGCAGCTGGTGGTGACTGCAGCAGTGGGAAACTGGTGGATGATGAATCGAATCGAATTTAAAAAAGCCTGAAACTGTGATACTGCTGCAGACTGCAGTCACAGTGTGCAGCTGGTTTCTCTCCTCAGCTCTGGACGCACACTTCCTCCTTACGCCACAGTAGCGCTCTGTTGCTAATGGCTACTAGCTTTGTGTGTCTACTTACACGCTAAACCAGGATGTTGAATGTTGTACCTGCTAAACGTGATATCACAGTCAGTTTGTGGCGTGTGTTTGATGTTTGTGTGCAGGAAGCAGCACAGTTTGTGGGTTCAGGGTGACGTGCATCGGTCTAAACAGAAGCTGGTCCAACAGAGACTGAGTCGGCAGCAGCAGCTGCAGCAGCAGCTGCACCGCTCTGACTCTGTGCAGGGAGGCAAACAGGAGGCAGTGTCCTCGCTGCTTTCCAGCATGGATGACCTGTCAATCAACACCGTGCTCTGCAAGTCATATAGCTTGGATGAGGTCAGCGGTGTGACTTCATAGCACCTTTTCTTAATGGTTACTGCAGAATTCAAACAGGCTACTGAGTTCCGATCACAATGTTGTGTTTTCATGCTGCTAATTGTGTCTGTGCAGAATAACTGCAAAGAAGTCAGTCTGACACAGGGAGACGAACTGAGAGCACTGAAGGGAAAACGCCCACCGAGATCAGCGTCATCCTGCTCAAGGTACCAACATCTGTAATGTAATTAATGATAGATGGTTATTGTGGTCAGTGCAAGAGACACGTAGAGAATTAGCTCAAACGCTGGAAACAAAGTTTCTATCAACAAGGAGAGATAATAGACACCAATATGTTTTTGTGGATGTCAGAAAGTACGTAAGTGACTGTTGTCGAATGCTACAAAGAACGCACGCTTTGTTTGCACGCTGTCTAACAGGCAGACCGGACTGCATGAAATCCTGCTGTGTTCTCATCTGTGCAGCGTGAATGTTGTGTGTAACCTGCTCGAGCTCATGTGTCCTTCTTTGTTCTTCGGTTAAACTGAAACCTAAATGCAACAGGAGAAGTTGTTGTCTTTTGGCGACTTTAGTTATGAGTGAGATTAAGGTTCTGGAGGTTGTCAGAGTATTCCTTCTACTGCCTGACGGTGTCCTCAGCTGGAGCCAGCAGGCCTCCATCTTTACTGTACACCGTGTTGGTGGAGCACCACTTCCCCTCCTGACGCTTTGCCAGAATCGCTCCTCCTACGCCCAAGTTTTTGCTGCAGCCGCGGCCTGAGCTGCGTTTCGATTGGCCTGCCCGCTGCCTCTGCTCTCCATCCTTGGCTGCAGCCAGACACACAATCAGTAGATAATACCTCTGCTCACTACAGTTTTTGTTTGGGTCCCTGAATCCACGGCACAAATATAGCAGATATATAAGAAGCTGCCATAGTTCAAGAAACATCTTATAAAAAGTAAATAGTTACAAATCGGGGATATGAGAGCTGCGGCAAAAAGAAACCAAAGGACGACCACGAACCAAACTCACGACGTGCCTCCGGCTTCTCCTGTAAACTAACATCACCAAACTGCTAACCTGACACAACCAAGAGCTGGGCTTCCACGGAGGTTAAATCAGGTACCTCCCACACGTCGAAGCGTGTTTGTATCTCGTCTCTTGTACAGAGTGTGAGTGCAGATGTTGATTCCTGCAGTGAGCGTAGAAATCAGAAGGATTTTTGGAGAAGTTGTTCGTTGTGCTTGTTTCTGTGAAGGATCAAGTTTTATTTGCTCTTGGATCACACACACACACAAATATGAGGTGTTCTTGTTTTCTGTGTCAGGTTAAACCTGTCCAAGACTTCACACCGCTCCATCCTCCCTCCCCCGAAGCCCTCCAAAGTCCACCTCACCCCTTCTTCTACTAAGACGCTGAGACGAAGTTCCTCTACCACCACTGCTCCGCAGATCAGGAGGTTGGTGTCTGTGCTTTTGTCCTTACTAGAAGCACATTATAATAAAACCAATGTAAAATGTGATGTGCTGATGTCTCCACAGTCCCTTCAGCCTCACGTTGTTCAGCACCAGGCCAGCACTGATTCACTGACTTCACACTTGGGACGTTCTGGTCATGAATCAGCCCAGCTGATGATGGACTCGCTGGAGACTGCATCAGCTCTCTTGCACGTTTAACCCTAGAACACTATCGCTATAAATAGTAACACAATCGCTAATGCCGGGTGATTTTTACCCGATATAATATAACCAATAAAAAGTAATCAAATATATCAAAATATGACAACACATGACAAATTAGAGTGGTCTTCTTTTACTTTCAACTGTGCCATGTCTAACAAAATGAAAGAAAAACCCTCCTAAAACAAAAGAATGACTCTGGAAAGCTGGTCTTTGGTCCACCCATTCCTGGGACATTTGAGACTTCCCTGGTGAAGGCACAGGCTCCTCGACACGCAAACAGCTGCAGGAGAGAGAAATCATGTAAATGTATTTGCTCGGGTGTAAATCACCCAGCGATAGCGTTCTCGGGTTAATAGGCTGTAAATGCTTTTTTAGCCCCAATAACTACTTTTCGTTTCGACAGAGCCAACAGTTTGTCACCACTTTAACTGGTCACGTGGCCCATTCTGTGATAACAGGGCCGACACCATAAATCATCACGTCTCTTGGGTATAGCAGGCAGGTAACTGTGAAAAACTGCGGCTGCATATTGCAGATATAACATCTGCTGGATGCTGAATGCCCCGCTGTCACAATCATTTTGCTGGAAGCAAAGGACACGTGCAGGTGCAAACACCAAACAACGCTTACAGGGGAGGTCGTGGCCCGAGGACTGAGTCAGACCATCGCCAAGAGCAGTCTGGGTGCTTCTGATAAACGGCTGCTGCCATTTGTCCATCCGAAGTTCAGAACCACAGGATGTAGACGGCCTGAAGCAACGTCTTGGTTGCGGAAACACAGACCTTTAGAAGTCGTACCAAAATCCACGCCTTAAACTTTGGCAGATCACATGATGGACCTAGCTTATTTGGCACGTTGTTGTAATGTTGTCTCCTCGTTTTCAGTACTTTAGTAACCAGTTGGGTCAGAGAACCATAGCAAACCACATCTTTTGTAAGAGATTGGTGCAATTGTTCAAGAATTAACAACTGGACGCAAAATTGTCTTGCAAGACCAAGAGTGACACACTGCTTCTGCTACAGATGTTATTTATATTCTCCCAGATTTCATCGATAAAGTATGACAAACTTATATTTGTTGGTCTGTTAATGTTCTAATGATGCAGAGCGAGGGACACAAAGCCACGACGTGCTTATAATGCACTGTGAAAGCCTCTGAGCACACATGCTGGCAATGAAAGAGGAAATCAGTAAAATGAAGACAGAGATTCTGATGTTTCACGTCAGACTGAACACGGCACGCACACTTTATTTCACAGGTCATTCACATTCATGCACTGGATTTGTCAACAGGACTTTATCATACATAAAGCAAACTCACTATGTTCAGCTTTGCACTATTTCTTTCTTGCAGTAAAATTCTTAACATGCAAATGATGTTCAGCTTTGAGCGTGTTGTTGCTGTCATGCTTTCCTGTATCTGACTGTGTGACAGCAGCTCAGATGTGCTGTCTGATTGGTAGTTTACTCCAAAGGAGGGAAACCAGCTAATGCTAGTGTGAAGTGCTAAAATCAACAATAAAGTCCAAGTAATGACGAGATAATGACTCATGCTTCTCTTTGTTATCATCACACTGTCATTGTGTCATAACCTTCACTGAAAGTCACCTGACACTGCTGTGGGATGCTGTGGGACGCTGTGGGATGCTGTGGGATGCTGTGGGATGCTGTGGGATGCTGTGGGATGCTGTGGGACGCTGTGGGATGCTGTGGGATGCGTGGGACGCTGTGGGATGCTGTGGGACGCTGTGGGATGCTGTGGGATGCTGTGGGATGCTGTGGGATGCTGTGGGATGCCGTGGGATGCCGTGGGACGCCGTGGGATGCTAAGACTGTGGATTCCATGTGCTTGGTATCATTTGGGGAATTTAATGACCAAAACATCAGAAATAACTGAGGCGACTCTATAAGGGAATCCCCTCTGTTGACACTGTACTGAGTCAAAAGTATAAGGAACTGAGCTACATGGATTACCTGCACATACACTGACCTACGTATATGAAACAGTACTGTACCATATATGTATAACAGGGCCTCTTAAACTAAAATCCTGGCTGTATCCTTACTGTAGTTAAGTTAAATACGTCCTCTATAGTCTCCAAATCATTGTCTGGTTGGGACACTTATATTTGTTGGTCTGTTAATGTTCTAATGATGCAGAGCAGGGGACACACACATATATATATATATACATACACATATATATTTATATATATATATATGTATATATATGAGTATATATGAGTATGCATTTAAAGTACACTTCAAATTGGGACAGCCGTCGTCGCGTGGCGGTGACGTAATCGCACTTAAAATGCGTACTTCAAGCGTGCAGACCCTGAATTGGGACACAGCCTCAGTGTTTCAGTCATAAAAACACTTCCTGTCTCCGCGGGGGCCCATCACGTATAGGTGTAACGGAGAAACAGCCAATCAAATCGCAGCTTTTCAGGCATTGGAAAAAAAAGATTGTTTTTTACACTGAACTGTCTGAGCGCGGGTTCGAGTCCTGGTTGGGACAAAGGTTGTGTTACATTATCAAAAGTTAAACACCATTTTCAATCTACTTATTGTGGATAACATTTATTTTTTAATTTTTAGTTCATTATCATTTTATTTATATTATATAGTGTTATGGCCTGTGGAGCAATTTTTCTGCACCTATACTGTCACAAAGTGCATAACTCAGACTAAACTGTATCATCACAGTCTTGAGATGATACATAGCAGACATATAGTCTACAATTATGGAGACATCCAACTTTTAATACAAAGACTAAAGCTAAAACTATAATACAGATACATTCTGATGACATAGAACATGAAGCTTATACATAATTTCAATAAGGCATGTCTGTGATAAATCATCTGTCTGCTTCCTGGTGGCTGTTAGTTTATGTCTATTCATTTTCCAGCACAAACTCAGTACTGACATCGTTGCTTTATTCCAGTCATGCTCTTGCCAGCCTCCACTCTGCATGCTTTAAATCGGTTGCTCTTCTGCATTTCAGATCTGCAGCCATGCAGCCCGCCTCCTCTCCTTTCTCCTCCTCACCGTGGTCACTCAGAGCCCTGTCCCAGCCTCCATCTTCATCTTCATTACTATCAGCATGTTGACTCTGGGGTGGTGGTTGTGCAACATCCTGTCACTGCTGGGATTCTTTCTGCTATGATGGCTCATAACTGCCAAACAGTTACATTTATTTCTGTATCTCAATAAATCATGTTGAGTTTTTCCACGTGATCTCTCCTTATTGAATTACTTTTGTAGATAAGCTTCAAGCTAGCAAGCAACAATACCTACATCAAATATATTATCACCAGAAGTGAGAAAGTGTCTGCAGCTCCAGCTGTGCTGCATGTATTAAAGATAACGTCAGACATTGTGTGGGGGTCATGTCTGACACAGGCTGTACAGTCACACAGATAAAAGACAGCAGTCATGTTTCTAATAATATAAATGAAAACAGAAAGATTATGAAGATAAAAGCTGTGAGACTGCTCTAGGATGACTTGTTATCATTACATGAAGTGATTTAGAAATAATATGTAAGCTTTCAGGGCAGCGCTCACAACTTATTTAAACTGATTACCTGATGGGGAGCACACACAGATATAGAAACATATAGGTGAACTCTAAGAAGAAAACTGTGTTGATATTTTTGCAGAAAACTATTTATTTACACTTTTATATTTACAATCAGTTTATATTTATAGAAACAAAAGAAACATTCACAACTAGAACAAAACTGTCTTATATACAAAATCAACTGTTTCTCCCTTATTTACTGTTTTCTTCCACCATACAGCCAGCATACAACCATGCTATTAGAGGAACATCACTGGAACGTGGCCAGAACACACAAAAACAAGAACAAGACAATATATAAAAGTTCAAGTTCAGGCTCAGCTTTGCAGAGAAAACAATTGTACTCCAGTTCTGAAACCTTTCATTTGAAAACCTGTTTGCTCCTGAAGATCCTCTGGGTGTGGACCCTGCTGCTGCTGCCACAGTGACTAGTTATGCAGAGACAGAGGCATATGAGACAGAAACAGACTTAGCCATTATCACGTCTGACATGTAGTAATAACGCAGTACTTACAGCTCTGCATGTGTACTTTTACAGGTGAGATGCTCGGCATTGTGTCCTCCAGGTTTTCATCCTCATCCATCCCTGTGATGGAGGCAACAATTAGACAAATATGTACTGAATTTATATTTCATGTCAACAATGTTATTAAAATATTATTAAAACAACTTACCAAGAGGTTGTTTAGTTGGGGCGTTTGTAGTAGCAGGCGCAGACTGCTACTTCTTCCGCAGGCACTGCTGCAGCTCATGCAGCCGTGTTCCTTGACTGCAGCTCTTCCTCATGATAAGGTCTGCATAGCCGTCACCTCTGCCGTCCCAAATCTCCTTCCAGGTGCTCTTGGCTCGTGAGCCAAAGCCAACCAGCTGATCATCCTCAGAGGCTTCTGCAGCAACACTTACTCTGCTGGTCTCGTAGCTCAGAAGAGTTTTTATCTCTGCAAAGCTGAGGGCTTACTGTACAAATGAATGCAAGCTCTCCTTGCCATGCCCTTCTTCCACAGAGGTCCCTGCAGCCTCTTGCTTCTGGAGATCTTTGATCAGGTACGTGGTGTCCCCGACATCATTCTCCAGAAGCCACCGGAAAGATTTCCCTTTATATTTTCCAAACTGCAGGATGTACTCTCCCTGCACTTCCTTCATGTCAGAGGCATCCCCTCCTCTCTGATAGATGACAGTCAGAGCATCGTCCTCCCTCACAGGTGCAGACTTGTCCTGAAGCTTGGGGTCATTTTTAATCCTTCGAGCTTCTTTTGACGAGTCCTGGAGAAGGTATCCAAGTGGCCCCTTGTGGAACGCCACAGAGATTTTCCCTGGATATGGCGCAACTTTCTTCTGCATCTTGACATGCAGTGAAAAAAGAAACAATTATATTAAACAAAATTGATTCCAAACACAAACAAAGACATTCCAGGTTATAATCTTGCTGCTGGGTTTAGACAGCAGGATGCAGGAGAACAATAACGAGACACAATTTGAAAGAACATTGACAACATTTGTGATAAAAGTGTTTTTTACTCCAGGTATAACAAACTGTTCTGTCTGTAAATAAAAACCTTTCATGGTTGAATGATTATTGGCATATCTGCAAAATTTGTGGTAACTGCTTAGTAGTCATGGCACATAAGAATTGCTGGTAGATTCCCACGCGGGAGCCTGGGATTGTTTAGCTAAACGGCCTAAACCGTTTCTCTATGGTAGTGCTAAACTACGGTGGCCCCTAGAGACAAAGCACGTACAAACTCAAAAACACATGCAAACTCAAAAACACAACGGAAGTGCTCCAGGACGCTAGGGGCAGTGTTGAGCTCGATTTGCAAAATAAACGGCAAGTTTGTCTGTATGGGACGGTCTAGTCTCCGTCGCGCTTCCCAGGTTGCCTAGCAACCATGATACTAACCGCTGGAAACGTGTCATACAACTTTGTTTGACAGAAATGAAGGAGAACATATTTTGTTCATTTGTTTGTTTGTTTCTACAAGAGCTTTGTGTGACTTGATAAGTATCTGAGGCTGAGACCACAGGACAGTAAAACATGATTTTTGGGCTTCATTTCTGTACTGAACAGTTATTTAAGATTAGTTAGTAAATAAGAATTAGCTGATGTTGTTCATGAGACTAAAGTCATCTCACTTTGGTAATGTAAATAGAATATGGCCAATATTATAGTTATTATATTAGTCATTATTAGCTATTACAGCAGTGAACATGAACTCTGTGTCAAATACTGAGCTTCAGTACAGATTCAAGTTGCAGTTATTTATATGTCTTATCACCTTAAATCTTCACTCAAAGACAAGTATCTTTGACAGTGCATATATAGGTGTATCATATATAAGAGACAAATGTTGTTCCTTCAGTATGTTGGCATTACTAAATTTGGCTCAATGCTTACATATATTTATTAAAAGAAAATGTACAAGCTGTGATAACTGTGTCTGATAGAATGAAGAGTCGACTGATATATGAAATATTCCTTTATTGGGTGAGAAAATCAGACCATGTCATAACTGCTGTAAGTCACACAGAATAGATATCAGAGCCTTAAACAGGCTGACGTCTGCTAAATGGGTCAAACTGGGCAGAAAGTCTACAAACACATAACATCCTTATAGAATATGATGTAACACTATAGATCAACTTAGCTCAGAATATATAAAGCATATAAACAATTACAGCAATATGATGCAACACACACAGCAGCTACTGATCCAAAATACTCAAAGCTTCATAGAACTGAAACCAACATTTATTTTAGCTCCATTCTGCTGCTGATACAGACTTTAGGTTTCTGAACATTAAACTTGTTGCTGCCTTTCATAGTGTGTAACTTGAAGGCCCTGAGTACTCTGAGTACTTTCTCCCACACTGGAAACACTGGGAGGATCACATTATTTGAACATTACCTAATAAGACTGATTCAGCACAGACAGTTATGTTAAACTTTCCTAGCAGTCCTTCACAAACAGGGAACAGTCTGTCTATTCTCTCCATCTGTCAGCTGCTGCTGGCTCTTCCTCCTCCTCTTCCTCACACACTGCTGAGTTTGTCCTGGTGGATCATCAGGGTGCAAAGCCTCACAGATGATGTGCAGCAGTGGGTCCCTCAGTCTGTCCTCACTCTGGACACTTGCAGTCGTCACACATGGAAATCAAATGTGTGATAAGCTGCAGGATTCAAACACAAGTGTAACTTATAAACACACGTTCATACTTTTATTCCACAATCAGAGAGAAAGAAACAGAGAGAGAGTGCAGGACAGACAGGTGACAGTCTCAGGTGTACACACTGCTACACAACACACAGAGAAGCAGGATTTAGTGTTTGTGTTATTACGAGTAACAAGAAGAGTTCCAGATGGTGCAGTGGACACATGTGTGACTGCTGTGATTAAAGAGTCTTTCTTTCAGCTTAACGAGTGAACCGTCAGCTCGTTCAAACACACGTTAAAGTCCGTTTGGCTCGACACCACCGAACAGAGGCAGCAATATAACACAGCTCACATTAACAGTGCAGTGAATCCTGCTTGTGCCGTGATGTTCAGGACTGCAAACCGAGCAGCATCACTGACTTTCAGCTTGTTGTGTTTGTGGATATATCACTGACTTTAATTATCCACAAAATCATCACATTCTCTGTAAGATTAAGGTCGACTATATATATTTTTTTAAAGTAAAGGCTTTAAAACCAAGTTAATTCTGAAAGTACAAACATCACTAATGTCAACTTTCCCGACATGTGGCCAACAGTAATGGTTTAATGTTCTTCATTAAAAAAATATTTGCGCATTAATAAGTGACATAATATTCAGTACTTCTGAAAGTTTACTCTTCCTCCGCTCCGCTTCCACTGTTTTTTTTCGGCAAAATTATCCACACCACCACCGCACTATGAAGTCTGGGATATGTTGGGCCATGAAGGCTACACCGACCCATCCTTAAAATTCAGGGAAATTAAGGACGCATTTCAGGGCCGCATTTCGGGCAGCCTTTGAATTCGGAAAGCCTTCTCTTGTGGCTGTGAGGTAATCGGCCTTAAAATGCGGCCTTTAAGGCTGCAAACCCCAAATCCGGTCATTGGTACTTCCTGGCTTGTGTAGTTACTAGGTAACAAAAGCTCAACACTGCCCCTAGCGTCCTGGAGCACTTCCGTTGTGTTTTGGAGTTTGCAAGTGTTTTGGAGTTTGTACGTGCTTTGTCTCTAGGGGCCACCGTACTAAACCACTACGGGTGTAATATACTTTTGGCCACTACGGTCTTCCGGCGCTGTTGCGAGTTTGAGATGCGGCGGCACTTTTAAAAAATCTCCTCTTTTACGTTTCGGGAGAGAAAATAAGTAACTCAACGCTCGCAACACATCCCAACGCTCCTCATTCATTGATCCAAGGTAAGAAACGTCGTTTGAAATAAGAGTAAACCAACAGAATACATTTACAGGTGTATATTACAGGTAATAGGTGTGTTGCGATTGCATTTACGAAGCATCCATCGGTCAGTGGTTACACTGAAATCATGCAGTTTGTGCTTTGACCTCCAGAGGGCGACAAATCAGCACAGACAGAGAGCTCCATTCAAACTTTGCTGCCATCAGGAATAATTCTTCAAATATAATCATCAGTGTTTGAGCAGTTCTGATATCAGGGACAATCTAGACATGTGTGACAATACTGAACGTGTCACATGACACACCTTAAACATCATGTGATCCACTCTCAGTCTGCACTTTCATTCATGACTTCAACAGGTTGAAATGAGCTTTGAACAAACATCAGTTCAGTGCTGAAATATTCAAACGCTGCAGGAAGAAGAACAACAAAGTGATGACAGATGTTTGTGCTTCAAACTGGAAAACCAGCAGAAATAAATCACAGCCTGCCAGAGGTTTAGGAGTTTCTGAGGTGCACCTGAACGCAGCATAGTGTTTCAAAGCCCCTGATTGTCTTCAAACGCCGCATTAGGCTGAAAGTTTACTTTCACTTCCTGAACTTCGTGGAGTGGCGCTTGTTGTTGGTGTGTGAAGAAACTGTAAGTTTGCTTTGTTTCCTCCTTTAACAGTTTGTCTTTAGGAACTTTACTGTTTGTTCAGCTCATGTTTGAGTTCTTCACACAACAAACTGTGTGTGTTTGTATTAAAGTCAGTGTGTAATGTTTCCTGGCTAACATCAGCTGTGTGCAGCTTAGTTCAGCACAAATCTGCCGCTCCATAGTTCACGGTAACGGACTCACAGCTGGACCAACGAGGCCGAGTGTGTCCGCCACTCTGAGCTACGTTCGTGTTTGTGTGCTTGTAGTTTGTACTTTGTGAGTTCACTCAGAGGACGCAGCGTACGTGATGACGTCACAGCCCTTTACCTCCTTTACTGTCACTGTGATTAATATTTACACACCACACGAGACACCTGGCAGCATGCTAACACTAAGCTAAAGCTAAGCTAACGCTAAGCTAGCCAAGAACCCAGAGTGAGTTAAAGCTGAGTAAACACTGACCCCAGATCAGCACCGTGATAAAGTGAGCTGCTGCTGCTGAACCTGAACAGGTAACAAAGTGATGAGCAGTCAGGCTGCAGGTTTCTACCTGTTCATGTTTCCACAGTAGAATCACTTTGAAGTGTCTTTGTGCTGTTTCATCTTTGATTTGTGTTCATAAACACTCAGAGAAACATCACGTGACCTCATCAGGATCTGTGTTGGTGTGTGGGGCTGTACCTCAGCTTTAGATTATGGTGATTATGAGACAGTGTTTCAGCTCATTTTACACAGTAACATGAAAGTACTGTTATGAGGAGTAATGACGTAACATACTCCATTACTTTTAATTAAAGTGTTCTGTGTAATATGTGTAATAATGACTTTTTTGAGTAACTTCATCTCTGTCAATAACAACATTCATACGTGGAATAAACCACATCAGTGGATCATTGCTGGAGCTGCTGATTCAGTCTTCAGCATCTCAACCAACAGCATCGACATGCTGCTCCAGATGTCTGTGCTCCAGATGTTTGTGCTCAAGTGATCAGACTCACAGTTTCATCCTTGAAATAAGTGTTTATATTGTTGACCCACCATTGATCATGATCAGTGGTGGGTCAGCGACATGCTTTCTTTCCGTCTCAGGTTTAAATATCTGGGACTCTCCACCGTTTGGTTTTAAAACTGAAGAAGCTTCTCGGATGAAACGTCTTCCAGAAACTTAAAGACGTCTCTTTTCTTTCCAAGCTCCTTAGATCACATGACCTGGATGACTGAACCTACAGACATATTGACCTGGTTTCTAGGTCACATGACAGGTCAGAGGTCAGCGACTGTAACTCGGTTACTCCTGTTAATGTGAACTCACTGAGTGTTTGTGGTTTACCTCTCAGACTGACTGAAGATGATGATGGAGGAAGAGGAGGACAGAGCAGAGTCTGCAGGGTCCAGCTGTCCGTCTGTGAGGAGTGACTGGTCCAAAGGTCAAAATCCAGACTTCAGTGGTGAACCTGGAGCAACGAGGTCAGAGAGCTGAACTCACTGAGTAACAGAAATAATTCTGCACTGACATTATAATCAGTGTTGACTCTGGTTGATTGTCTGACTGTGTTTGTGAGCTGAGAGGAAATGAAAATGAGTTTGTAACAAAAATCAGTTTTGTCCAGTTTTCCTGTAAAAAGCTGAACTCTAATCTAAGAGGATGTTACTGACAGGAAACAGCTGCATTATCTGCAGTCTGTGTGATCACAGCTGCTTCAATCATGTTTGTGTCTGCAGAGGTCAGAGGTCACAGTCTGCAGGGTCCAGCTGTCCGTCTGTGAGGAGTGACCGGTCCAAACGTCGAAATCCAGTCTTCAGTGGTGAACCTGGAGCAACGAGGTCAGAGAGCTGTGATGACTCCTTTACATGTTTGTGTTTCCTGGATAAATATGACCTGAAACATCCTCAGATTGTTACAAAGATTCATTAAAAAGAAAACAATGAAAGAGAAAAGATCCAAATGTTCGACTTGGTCATTTGCTGTTTGAGGACAGTGATGCTCATATCTGTGGGGAAAGTGTGACCTGAGTGGGTTCATGTTTGTCTTTAAAGAACAGCTCTGATGCTCTTTGTGTCTGATCTGTTAAACAGTCTGAGAGGTCACACAGAGACCCAGCAGCTAAAGCCTGGATCATACTGGCTGCTGTTACTCCATCAGGACAACACTGAACCACAGTGCTGTTCATGGAAATCAGTGCAGCTTTACACTGTATCACCAAAGTACTGACTCGTCTGCCTTCACACACATGTAAACTTGAGTGACATCATATTCTGAGTCCACAGCATTTAATATGATGTCAGCCAAGAGTTCAACATATAACAGCTTAAACTGTTCTGAAAAGGTTTTTTCACAGGTTAAAAAGTGTTTACGGGATTTTTAACAGTTCTTTCAGAAGCACATACGTGAGGTCAGACACAGGGAAGCAGCAACACTGACTGAACACAGCTTTTAGAGGCTAAATTCACATTTTAATAATGAAAGTGGCTTCATGTGTGTGTCCATGGTTCATCCACAGAGTGGAGCAGCAGAGCTCAGAGGGTCCCAGTGGTCAGTCTGCCCAGCAGCATCAAACACAGCTGGACTCCATGTTTATGGTCTGTACATGTACAACAACTACTTTATTATTAATATTAATACATTTGTTTATAGGTCCCTTTCAGAACACCAAGGACTCTGTGGACTAAATGACCAAAAGAAACAAACTTTGAAATCAGACGGTGCAAATGTGATCACAGGGAAACGTTTTAAACATCGAGGCTTTAAACAGAAACCAAAGTGAAACAGTTTGTAGTCGAGATCAGTGGGAATGAAGCTGAATAACTGTTTCTTCAATAACTCTGAGAAATAAATGACAAATATGATGGAAATTAGCAGCATTAGCACTTACTAATGATGTGAGTCAACACTCTGCTGTATTCAGACGACCACATTAGGTGGTGTAATGGAAACCAGTGGATCCAGTCCAGTCGTGGCGACCTGTGGCGAGTCGATCTGAGCAGCTACTAATGGAAACGGGGCCATAGATGTGTTTGTGCTTAATAACAGTGAATCACAGGATTTTTACATTACAGTTAAAATCTCATGTTGTTTGTTAAAGTGTGCAGTTCAGGGTGTGTTACTAAAACTGTGGTTTGCTCACTTTCCAAAGACCCAGCCCCCATAAAAAGCAGCCAATCAGCTCTAAGAGTTACACACACGTGTAAACCAGAGCAGCAAATCAGGTCCAAATGTGTTGTTCACAGTGAGTGGATCATCAGTGTGCTGCTATGTTAACATCCTGCAGCAGGATGTGTTTGGTCAGCTGGTTCACATTTCCTCAGGACCTTCTTGATGTGATGTTCTTCTGCCTCCCTGGCTGCTGTGTCTGTGGGGATGGCGTTCGCTCTGTGTTGTAGCGTCCTGATGACGCCCAGTTTGTGCTCCAGTGGATGATGAGAGTCAAACCTTAAATACTGATCTGTATGTGTAAACAGAGTGAACCTTTAAGACCAGCTGTCTGTATGATCAACTCTGTCACCTATAACATCGCCAAGTTTCTGGCTTCGATCATCAACCTGTTGGTAGTTCAGCTCTGAACACCAGTGAAATGTTTCTCCCACTGAAATCGCTGCATTCATATGAACAGAATCAGCGTTTTGGGACCGTGGAGTTGTGGAGAAATTCTCAGTTAATCAGATAAAGTCAAACTTATAATTGGTGAGGAGATCGTGGATGATATGCTTCTTGATTGTAAAGAAGTGGATGTTGTGTGGACTGAAGTTCAGAGTGGTGGGTCATTCATAAATATTCTGTTCCAGCTGCTGGAGGACACATCATCACGTTTGTGAAGAACGAGCTGAAGAAGATCCAGAAGGCTCTGAATCCAAATAAGCCCCAGTGCTTGGAGTTTCAGAGGGAGGATGATGAGCAGAGGAGCAGCAGAGAGGCATTTGTGAAGATCACAGTGGACTTCCTGAGGAGAATGAAGCAGGAGGAGCTGGCTGACCGTCTGCAGAGACGTAAGAGGATTTCTTACTTAAGGTTTTAAGCTGTTAGATAAATGAGACACTCATGACACCAGTGTGTTCAGTCATTTCTCAGTGGGTCAGAAAATGTCGTCAGCGATTTGTAAAATATGATTGTTGAAGTTGTATTTTTATTATTATTATTCAGAATTTCCAGCTGCTGTTTGTCATCGTAACCTTAAATCCACCCTGAAGAAGAAGTTCCAGTGTGTGTTTGAGGGCATCGCTAAAGCAGGAAACCCAACCCTCCTGAATCAGATCTACACAGAGCTCTACATCACAGAGGGAGGGACTGCAGAGGTCAATGATGAACATGAGGTCAGACAGATTGAAACAGCATCCAGGAAACCAGACAGACCAGAAACAACCATCAGACAAGAAGACATCTTTAAAGCCTCACCTGGAAGAGATGAACCAATCAGAACAGTGCTGACAAAGGGAGTGGCTGGCATTGGGAAAACAGTCTTAACACAGAAATACAGCCTGGACTGGGCTGAAGACAAAGCCAACCAGGACATCCAGTTCATATTTCCATTCACTTTCAGAGAGCTGAATGTGCTGAAAGAGAAAAGTTCAGCTTGGTGGGACTTGTTCATCACTTCTTTACTGAAACCAAGGAAGCAGGAATCTGCAGCTTTGAAGACTTCCAGGTTGTGTTCATCTTTGATGGTCTGGATGAGTGTCGACTTCCTCTGGACTTCCACAAAACTACAATCCTAACTGACCCTAGAAAGTCCACCTCAGTGGATGTGTGCTGATAAACCTCATCAGGGGGAACCTGCTTCCCTCTGCTCACCTCTGGATAACCACACGACCAGCAGCAGCCAATCAGATCCCTCCTGATTGTGTTGACATGGTGACAGAGGTCAGAGGGTTCACTGACCCACAGAAGAAGAGTACTTCAGGAAGAGATTCAGAGATAAGAGCAGGCCAGCAGGATCATCTCCCACATCAAGACATCACGAAGCCTCCACATCATGTGCCACATCCCAGTCTTCTGCTGGATCACTGCTACAGTTCTGGAGGATGTGCTGAAAACCAGACAGGGAGGACAGCTGCCCAAGACCCTGACTGAGATGTACATCCACTTCCTGGTGGTTCAGGCCAAAGTGAAGAAGGTCAAGTATGATGGAGGAGCTGAGACAGATCCACACTGGAGTCCAGAGAGCAGGAAGATGATGGAGTCTCTGGGAAAACTGGCTTTTGATCAGCTGCAGAAAGGAAACCTGATCTTCTATGAATCAGACCTGACAGAGTGTGGCATCGATATCAGAGCAGCCTCAGTGTACTCAGGAGTGTTCACACAGATCTTTAAAGAGGAGAGAGGACTGTACCAGGACAAGGTGTTCTTCTTCATCCATCTGAGTGTTCAGGAGTTTCTGGCTGCTCTTCATGTCCATCTGACCTTCATCAACTCTGGACTCAATCTGATGGAACAACAAACAATCTCTACATGGTCTAAATTATTTAACAAACTAAAACTTCAATCTCTCCACCAGAGTGCTGTGGACAAGGCCTTAGAGAGTCCAAATGGACACCTGGACTTGTTCCTCCGCTTCCTCCTGGGTCTTTCACTGCAGGCCAATCAGACTCTCCTACGGGGTCTGCTGACACAGACAGGAAGTAGCTCACAGACCAATCAGGAAACAGTCCAGTACATCAAGGAGAAGCTCAGTGAGAATCTGTCTGCAGAGAAAAGCATCAATCTGATCCACTGTCTGAATGAACTGAATGATCGTTCTCTAGTGGAGGAGATCCAACAGTCCTGAGATCAGGACGTCTCTCCACAGATAAACTGTCTCCTGCTCAGTGGTCAGCTCTGGTCTTCATCTTACTGTCATCAGAAGAAGATCTGGATGTGTTTGACCTGAAGAAATACTCTGCTTCAGAGGAGGCTCTCTGAGGCTGCTGCCAGTGATCAAAGCCTCCAACAAAGCTCTGTGAGTAAACATGTGATCAGGCTTTATTTATAACATAAACAGTATCATGTGTGATGGACCCTTAAAAACTTAAACATATTTTTTTACATGATCATCAGCACTAAATACAGTATATTATAGTTAATGTTTGATGGCAGCAGTAAATGTCAGAGTGTCTTAAACATATCTGGGTGTCAGCTTTTATCAAAGTCACGTCCAGAATCATCCTGTAAGTAAACTTTATTTAAACAGCAGCTTTCACAGGTCAAAAACCACAAAGTGCTTTACAATAGAAACAGGCAATAAAAACACAGAAGATAAAAACATTAAACAGCAAACACTGAACATCATACAGCCTAAAACTAGTTAAAGGCCACTCTGAATACTAGAGTCTGAATAAATGAGTTAGTGGGACCAGTAAAAGCCTTTGACTGGAAGATCTCAGATGTGAGAAGAGCTGTAGGATTG